TTGTTATTCTCTGCCACGTGTACCTCATAGGATACCTGGTGGAAAACTGGAGCATTGTCGTTGACATCTCCGATGTGCAGCGTGGCACTTGTATTGGAGGAGAGGGGTGGCTCGCCCTTATCTGTAGCTATGAGAGTGATATTGTACTCTGGCCTCTGCTCCCGGTCTAGGGCACTATCAATCACCAGCTTGTAATAATTCTTGGAGGCAGATTCTAATTTGAAGGGAAGTTCTTTCTGAATCTTGCAAGTCACCTGACCATTTTGTCCAGAATCGTGGTCTTGCACTTTAATGAGGGCTATTACAGTTCCAGGGTCTGAATCCTCAGGAATCTGGTTAGAAAAGGACACGAATGTCACCTCTGGGGCGTTGTCATTCTCATCAACAACTTCAATCTGAACATTACAGTGGGTCGTGTGCACCCCTCCATCCTTGGCTTCCACACCCAGTATGTATCTACTTGTCTCTTCAAAGTCCAGTGTACCATTGGTTGAGATGTCACCAGTATTTGGGTTGAGATTGAAGAGGAAGCCAGTACTTGCTGGGGCATTGAGGAAGGTATAGGTGATCTCTGCATTCATGCCCTCATCCTGGTCGGTGGCCACCACTTGAAGCACGAACGTTCCTGGGGGCGCGGTTTCGTGGACGCTAACTCTGTAAGTGTCCCGGCTGAACACTGGAGCGTTGTCGTTGGCGTCAGTGACCTGGATCAGGACATCAGTGGTGCCACTTAGAGGAGGGTTCCCACCGTCGATGGCGGTCAGGATTAAACTGTGGGAACTCTGCTGCTCTCTGTCCAGAGGCTTTACCAGCAGTAATTCCGGGTATTTCCTTCCATCGGGACTTTCATTTGTTGACAGAGAGAAGTGCTCATTGGGGCTGATAGTGTACATCCTCAGAGAGTTATTTTCGACATCTGCATCTTGTGCAGAACCTAAAGGGAATTTTACCCCTGGCAAAGCTGATTCGCAGATTTCAAGGGTAATACCACTTGCAACAAAACGTGGTGCATTGTCATTAATATCTTGGATTGCAACCACCACGTGGAATACATTCATTGGGTTTTCAGCGACCATTTCAAATTCGAGTGCACACTTAGATTTCCTCCGGCAAATTTGCTCTCGATCTATCCTTCCCCTTACTAATAAATCACCAGTCTCGGCATTCACGCTGAAAAAATCCTCTGCACTAACCCGCAGTTTTCTAGATGGCAACTCCTGGACACTGAGCCTCAGATCCTTGGCGACATTCCCCACCCGAGAGCCCCTGGCCAGCTCCTCTGGAATCGAGTACTGGATTTGCTGAGAGGTGACCCCGCGCAACAAAGACAGCAAGAGAAACAGTGCCTTACTTTTCATTGTTTCAGCTTTTCTGAGGCTCCTTTGCATTTCTTGAACTCTCTGGGAAGCTTCTTTTCAAGATGTCTCTGGGATATTTAAAAAAAACATTGAGCGCATCCTGCACTTTTGTGATTTCAGGGCAGGATGAGTTTTTCAGTGGCTTGAGAATGCGCAGGAGTCCCTTCCGCGACTCGCGTTACAGGACGAGCCGGATCTTGCCTCAGATGAGAACCCTTTTCTTCTTCTTGGTCACGAGCGGCGCCCAGAGGTTGTCTGGGGAAATTGCATATTGCCCAGCTAGTCTCAGAGTGTGAGCTCTTGAATCTAAGCACACTGTCTTTCCCCCCACCCACTTACATTGTTGCTCATTTTGGTAAAATATTTATTTCTCCTCTCACGTGGAGGCCCCATAAATCTCCCACCACATTACCTGTGAACCTCACCTTAGGCCCTGTGCTCTTCCCTCTCCTGTTAACAGTGTCTTTTTATTTGTTGGAAGAAGCACATAATCAAAGTCTCCCTATAAATGTGACATTTTCTAGGTTTTTTGCCATCTCATAATTGTTGCCATCATTGTACATTCTTTTCATTTAAATGTTTACACAAGCCATCACATTTTTCTCAGTTTTGGGGCAAAGCTATCTTCAATGACATCACTATAGTTATAAAATTAGATTGACTAGTGTGATATAATCAAGTAAGTTACTGACTTTTAACCCATATTTTAAAAAGGTAATATAATAGTTTGTTTTTATATCATTTTGTGCATTTTCCATTTCAGTTGTAATCCCTGTGGGCTTCCCATCACCAAATCACCCATGTGCCATCACCATAGTCCAATGCATTTCCCTCTCCCCACTGTTTTTGATCCCATTCCCCACTCTACCCTCATAAAATGTCTCTGGTATATAGCTGTTCATTACTATTTTAACCCACATTTTAACAGACTATATGATCCATGCATTTTTGTAAACCTATAGCTTTGCTGACTTATATTGTAACTTTCTCCATATATACTTTGGTCAATTCAATAATATTTTTCAAAGATACAGTCTTTGCAAAAAAGAGGCAGTCAATACCTAGGCTAGTTTTAATGTATTACAAACTTTTCTGAGATGTAGATAATCTTCCTATTAAGCAGAGAAAAGTCTGATATTTTCTTAAAGAGTCCAATTTAGTATTTGAACACACACACACACATTTTATAAGGCATAATATTGTGCGAGCTATATTTACTTTCATGAAACCAATACCTTTTTATAATATGATTGGAAATGCAATACTCCATAACACCAGTTCTTAGTGCTAATCAACTTATGCCACTAGTAAGTGAAATGAGTTTCACCTGATCACTGATAAATCTTGGTGAGGCAGCCAGAGTCCTCTTATACTCCACTGAACTGGTATTTAACAAAAATAAACAGATGCCTTTATTTCAGACGCACTGTTTAATTGGATAACAATTCAACACTACATTCTACTACTTTCCATGCTACCTACCCTCACCTTGCAACCCAGGCAGACTGTTGTCAGTTTCCTGTTTCATGCCTTCCCATTCCTTTAATTGTAATACCTCCTCCTTTTTGTTATTATGAACTTATGCTCATCTGTAAAAAATTCATTTTAGTGAAAATGAGATGTCTGAGATTTTTCTGTTGCCTATACAAATAGATAGAAATTGTCTTTGAACTTTTTTGCATTTTCACAACATATATGTAGGCAATATTTTATATGGGATTCTTGAAAACTCTCTGTGCACATCTAAAGTTCCCCTGGCAATAGCTACTTAATAATTTCTTTCTTGTGAGGGAAGTATATCAATAATATAAATAGTTTTCATAAGAAAGATATCCCGAAGAGCTTATCACTTTTGGTGTGATGTAGTTTGCATGTTTGAGTTATTTTGTTCCAGTCCTCATACTCTTCAATGTACCTCCTCCTATGATTCTGAGATATCTGTTTCTTTGTTTGAGAGCTAATAACATATATTTGGGCTTAATTTTGGATGATCCTCTGACACAGTTTCATAAGTGAAAATAATTTCATAAAATTCAAATGGACAATTTTGGTCCAAGGAACTTTTCCATCTTCTATTTCATTGTTGGAATAGACGGTCTGGAAATATTCTGCAGTGACTGAAACAAATCTTATATTTTTAATCTTCTCCAAAGGACAAGAAATACCACTCCAAATTTCATAACAGTTCGGCAACTGAACTTCCCACCTTCAAGCAAAAGGCTGACATCAATAAGAACATACATAGAAACAACTGCCCGTCAATGCCGAATGGATAAAGAAGAGGCAATGTGTGTATGAGAAGGGCTACTCAGCTATGACAAGCTGAATAATGGCAACATGAATGGACCTAAAGGTCATTGACTACGTGCAATAAATATGACAGAGAAAGACAAATACCACATGCTTTCTCTCATGCGGAAGATAAAGAAAACAAAAGGGAACAAATTAAACAAAAATAAACTGACATAAGAACAAAATGATGATTACAAGGAAAAGGAGGAGAGGACTTTGCTAAATAGGGTAAAGGGGAGATAAATTGTATGATGGTGAATGGAAACTAGACCTTGTGACAATCATATTTTGGATTGTAGTATACTACACCCTGCCTGAAGCCTTTATCAATCAATATTACTTCAGTGAAAAATTTAAAAATATTTAAAAAAACATATGTTATATGTAAAATAGGGACTACAAGACAGGTAAAACCTCTACCTTTTTTACCTTACATGTTTTATGTCATTGAGATGAAAGTAGTAAGATTTGACTTAGAAGGAGTTAAGCCTATAAGAGCCAAAAATACCTAATATTTAAGTATTTTTTAAACTTGTTTGTGTCAGTCAGCATAAGCCAGGTAAGCTGGAATGATGAAATTCAAATCATCATGACTTAAAATAAAACCAGTCTATTCATCACAGATAGACAGATAGATCAGTGTTGGGTTAGCCACAAGTGCTTCTCTCAAGATAGTTGTTCAAGGACCCAGGTAGAAGGAACAATCATAATTTCAAAGAGTAACTTAGAAATCTGGAAAATGGCAAATAGAACTCCCTGCAAAAAAAGAGGCAAATGACCTCTTGTTATAATGCATTGGCCACAATTAGGTACCTAGTGCACTCAGCAGTATCAGGTCAGGACCAGCCTCTACATAGGCCCAGAATAATAGAGGGACAAAATATTTAAGCAGTACCAGTGTTCAGA